TACTACATCTCAACGATAGAAAACAGGGTATCTCTTACTACATCTTAACGACAGAAAACAGAGTATCTCTTACTACATCTCAACGACAGAAAACAGAGTATCTCTTACTACATCTCAACGATAGAAAACAGGGTATCTCTTACTACATCTCAACGACAGAAAACAGAGTATCTCTTACTACATCTCAACGATAGAAAACAGGGTATCTCTTACTACATCTCAACGACAGAAAACAGAGTATCTCTTACTACATCTCAACGATAGAAAACAGGGTATCTCTTACTACATCTCAACGACAGAAAACAGAGTATCTCTTACTACATCTCAACGATAGAAAACAGGGTATCTCTTACTACATCTCAACGACAGAAAACAGAGTATCTCTTACTACATCTCAACGATAGAAAACAGGGTATCTCTTACTACATCTCAACGACAGAAAACAGAGTATCTCTTACTACATCTCAACGATAGAAAACAGGGTATCTCTTACTACATCTCAACGACAGAAAACAGAGTATCTCTTACTACATCTCAACGATAGAAAACAGGGTATCTCTTACTACATCTCAACGACAGAAAACAGAGTATCTCTTACTACATCTCAACGATAGAAAACAGGGTATCTCTTACTACATCTCAACGACAGAAAACAGAGTATCTCTTACTACATCTCAACGATAGAAAACAGGGTATCTCTTACTACATCTCAACGACAGAAAACAGAGTATCTCTTACTACATCTCAACGATAGAAAACAGGGTATCTCTTACTACATCTCAACGACAGAAAACAGAGTATCTCTTACTACATCTCAACGATAGAAAACAGGGTATCTCTTACTACATCTCAACGACAGAAAACAGAGTATCTCTTACTACATCTCAACGATAGAAAACAGGGTATCTCTTACTACATCTCAACGACAGAAAACAGAGTATCTCTTACTACATCTCAACGATAGAAAACAGGGTATCTCTTACTACATCTCAACGACAGAAAACAGAGTATCTCTTACTACATCTCAACGATAGAAAACAGGGTATCTCTTACTACATCTCAACGACAGAAAACAGAGTATCTCTTACTACATCTCAACGATAGAAAACAGGGTATCTCTTACTACATCTCAACGACAGAAAACAGAGTATCTCTTACTACATCTCAACGACAGAAAACAGAGTATCGCTTACTACATCTCAACGATAGAAAACAGGGTATCTCTTACTACATCTCAACGACAGAAAACAGAGTATCGCTTACTACATCTCAACGATAGAAAACAGGGTATCTCTTACTACATCTCAACGACAGAAAACAGAGTATCTCTTACTGCATCTCAACGATAGAAAACAGAGTATCGCTTACTACATATCAACGATAGAAAACAGAGTATCTCTTACTGCATCTCAACGACAGAAAACAGAGTATCGCTTACTACATCTCAACGACAGGAAACAGAGTATCTCTTACTACATCTCAACGACAGAAAACAGAGTATCTCTTCCTACATCTCAACGACAGAAAACAGAGTATCTCTTACTACATCTCAACGATAGAAAACAGAGTATCGCTTACTACATCTCAACGTTAGAAAACAAAGTATCTCTTACCACATCTCAACGACAGGAAAAAGAGTCTTACGACATCTCAACGACAGAAAACAGAGTATCTCTTCCTACATCTCAACGACAGAAAACAGAGTTTCTCTTGCTAAATCTCGACGACAGGAAACAGAGTATCTCTTCCTACATCTCAACGACAGAAAACAGAGTATCTCTAACTACATCTCAACGACAGAAAACAGAGTATCTCTTACTGCATCTCAACGACAGAAAACAGAGTTTCTCTTACTAAATCTCGACGACAGGAAACAGAGTATCTCTTCCTACATCTCAACGACAGAAAATAGAGTCTTACTACATCACAACGAAAAGTAGTGTACATTATTGATTTTTCCATTAATGTAACACCGTTTTGACAGGGTATCCTTTTTCCTTCAATTCGTTTTCACCTGGGAAATTAGCCTGCCTAATGAATAATGGATGTCTTCAGAGACATGGAATGATCCCACACTATTGACTATTAACTGTTGACTTTCAAAAGAGAAGCACATTTCCCACTTGTTATGATAAACTGAATGCTTAGTTAAACAAAAACCATGTCCTAGTACATAAAAACATTGAAATATTAATAATGTAACTTCAGGTACATGTACTGAATATATGTAAAGAAGCAGCAGGGTATCTAATACGCCCGACAGCAGCCATGAGTTTGTATAAGGAATGGGGTATTTAAAAGTCCTCTGACAAGTCAATTGTCCATTAAGTGACAGTTGTAATGAATGCACCCAAAAGAAGCTCCGCACATTGCGGAAGGCTCTTATTGGAATGCGTTAAGCACTGATACAGCAGTTTGGTCATTTATTTTACCCTTCACTTTGCACGTGTGCAACAAATCCACGTGGGATTAGTGTGTGAAGTTAAACAACCATAGATTGATCCCTGACCATCGTGTTACATTTGTCTTAGAATATAAATCCACGGCCGCAAAGAATACCAACATTCATTAGCATTGACATGTGCTATAGGCATGCTGTATGTGATACTACTGACCTTGCTCCTGTGCTATCGGCACGCTATATGGGATACTACTGACCTTGCCCATGTGCTATCGGCACGCTATATGTGATACTACAGACCTTGCCCATGTGCTATCGGCACGCTATATGTGATACTACTGACCTTGCCCATGTGCTATCGGCATGTCTTTTGTGATACCATTGACCTTTTCCCTTGTGCTATTGGCTTGCCAGTTATGATACCTTTAAACCTTGCCCCTGTGATATCGGCATGCCATAGGTGATACCATTCACCACTTCCCTATGCTATTGGCACTTCCGCCTGTGCTATCGGCATGCAAATCGTGATACTATTTACCTTTCCCCTGTGCTATCGGCTTACAAATTGTAACACCATTGACCTTGTCCCTGTGCTATCGGCATGCCAATTGTGATATCCTTGAACTTTCGCCTGTGCTATCGGCTTACAAAGTGTAATACCATTGACCTTTTCCCTGTGCTATCGGCATGCCCATTGTGATATCATTGACCTTGCGCCTGTGCTATCGGCTTACAAATTGTAATACCATTGACCTTTTCCCTGTGCTATCGGCATGCCAGTTGTGATATCATTGACCTTGCGCCTGTGCTTTCGGCTTACAAATTGTGATACCATTGACCTCGCGCATGCGCCGGTGCTATCGGCTTACAAATTGTGATACCATTGACCTTGCGCCTGTGCTATCGGCATGCAGATTGTGATACTATTTACCTTTGCCCTTTGCTATCGGCTTACAAATTGTGATACCATTGACCTTGCGCACGTGCTATCGGCATGCCAATTGTGATATCATTGACCTTGCCCCTGTGCTATCGGCTTACAAATTGCGATACATAGGTAGAGATTGAGCACTGCATTCCTCTCGACTACATAGAAACAGTAGTTCGACCTTTGACCGGGAGGTATGTCAATGCTATTTTGTCCTAATAATGGGGAACCAGGTGCTACACATGAATGGGGTAATAATATCATATCAAAAGGCGTTCCATGACAAAGCAGTTCGATGACCATGACCCGAATAAGTACCGACATACATCCTTGTTGGAACATACAATTAAGGTTAAACTTCATGAAAAACATCGCGCGAAAAAACCCAGGAAAGTTAAACGGACGAACTAATCAAGGCTAAAAAATAGTCCGACCAGTCGACGCCAACCAAACCTGAAGTAATACTCGTTTGTAATGTTGTATTTACGCTAAGGAGTTTTGGGTAAAATTGACATCATGTATCGTTTGACCATGTTTCATTGCAAACTAATCATTTTTACGGGCGTGATGATGCGGAATTTATTGCCCAATCGGTTTGCATTATGCTATTTAGATATGCATCAAAACTGCCCATCATTGAGTTTCGTTTCCTGAAATATATCAGCTGACCACATCCCATTAAAATCTGATCAGTTTTAGTAAAGTTGTCGACTGAACCGTAGAAACAAAACGGTAACATAATTAAGACTCTTCAAACAGGCAATAGCCTCAGACAGCAGGAAGTTTAATGGCAATGTGAAAAAAATACGAGACTTTTTATAAAAGTGTTGTTATAACGACAGTGGTATGTGTGTGATATACAACCTAACGCCACCCTTACTGACTGTAGCTTCCCGATCGAGTGGTGCTGCCACAGAACCACGTCGCCATATTACGTGTATAGCAAACCCACAGGCGGTAATAAAGGAGCTGGGTCACAAAACATCCGCACTATACAACGCTTCACTACAATTTGTGATGTTTGTAGATACATTTATGTATACATATATAACTTAATGTATTATATGACCAATGTAGATGTCTTGACTCTGTGTCTAATTAACGGCGTATGGTGTATTTCGATACTTTTCAAGACGATATAATGGCCTTATAACGGCTATTGTTATAGTAAATTTCTTTATTTTGAATTTAGTTTTAAAGCCGTGAGTTGAGATTGATGTCCTAACGTCGTAGGATCATAGAGACAACGATGGTTTCTGTAGGAATATAATCCTAAAAGAGAAAAAATTAGAACCCTGGGGGACAAATATTCAACAAGCAGAGTCAAACATTTTTTACGTTAAATAAATACGAATTAAGGAATCTTTTTTTTCAAAGGTGTTTGAGAAGTTACAGAAAAACATACAAAATAGATATTTTTGCAACATATGGTCATTTTGTTAATTTAGACCTAATCTTTTGTGCTAAATTATGTAAAATGAAATTGCTGTCTACAGTGTTCCTTAACGTATGTAGAAACACGGATGCACTTTTAAATATAAAGAAAGAAAAAATGAATACAAAATTCAATCATTGTCCCTTTAAGTGCATTTAGATACAGAGTATGAAAAAAAGTCACAATGGTTCATGGCTACGGAACTGAGTTTCGTTTTCCATATACAATATACTCACCTCGTCCATCTTGATGTCGGTGTGTACCATGAAGCCGTCGTCTAAGTCTTGTTGGACGTAATACCGGTAGAATGGACCGTTTAGAGCTCGGGCGACGTTCCTCTCAGGATTTGCGGGCAAAACCACAATATTGAAGGACACATAACGCGTGAACTTCCGGGGCACGTGTGATATGTCCGTATAATATAACCGGAAAGCCAATGATTTCCCGCTTGCGTCCGCTTCTAACATCCACGCCTGCTTATCGCGGTCGTACAGGTGCGCACCGTTCTTATTCCTGTTTAGCACCAGCAGCGACACCTCACTGACGGACACGACCGAATACATGTCCAGCCTCACCTTAATAGATGTCCGGCCCTTAGCCAATAGTTGAAGGGTGGACCCTATGACGTAGGGATCACTGTTTCCCGTGGCGTCCAGCAGCTGGTCAATTGTTCCCGATTCGTACGGATCGGTATCCCCCAAGGTCACGTGGTATTTGACGTTACACAGGTGGTCGAAGCTTGTATGACGATGTAGCTGAATGGCCACGTTACTCTCTGTGTCCGCCGTGCTGGCGTTAGGAAACAAAGAAATGCTCCAGTCGAATAAACCGAACGAGAAGTAGGGAGACTCCATCCGAGGCCCGTACGAATACCGGTTCGTGTAGTCTTTAGGAATGTTTAGAAAACAATTTAAAGTAGACACAATGTTACGTAGTTCCAGCTCAACAAGGAACTCACCATTCTCTTGGATAAATTTACGATGTAGCAGGTCCTCGAGAGGCATAAACGTTTTTCGACCTTTCGTGTCGGACTGGTCGGAGAATTCACAACCTTTCTCCAGAAAGGATTCGTTCTTAGTGAAGTGTTCACTGTTCAGAAATGTAAAGGAGTAATCCATCTTACACAACATGGCGTTAGATGAGGTTTGAAGCTTTAAATAAGCTCCCAAATGATGATCGCTTTTTACAAAGCTGACCGTCCATTTCTGATAACCGTACACAAAATCCTTTGAATATACGTCCGGTGAAAACTCTCTCAAAATTTTATTTGGCAGAGAAAATGTAAAGACCTGTGTATCAAAACGATCATTGAGTCTGATCATACGAAAAAGCTTGGCCATATTTAGTGGTGTTTCCGCCAGCAATGCCGAACAATAATACCGCCGCAGTGATCACAGGATCCGCCCGGGCTCCATGTAAACCTGGCTGAAAATAGAAAACGGGATTAGATAAAACGTACAGACGGTCGTAAATTGTGAGGACATCTTCTTAGAAATCTTTGAGGAATTAGATAATGAAACTGTTTCTGCCTTTAGTTGAAATTTGATAGGAATTGTGAGTTGAAGTGTTTAACACGAACGCCCTTAGCAGTATAACAACACCATACACGAAAGATGTTTATTCCCAGCGGCAAAACTAGGCAGCTACGTGTTTGAAGAATTTCCTTAAACTGCATGCGCGACATTCTATCGTAAGTTATTCTCTGGAAATGTTTTAGTGAGAAGTCACAGGAATTCAAGGTCACCTATGGAAACTAGACAAATTACGTCCTGATCTCGTGGCGCACCGTGTGAACTCTAGCCCAGTCACTGTATGAATGAATGGTCCCTTTGGTAAATAAGTATTATTGTCAGCATGTACATCCATTGACATGCCAGGGGGTAATTAACAGCGAAGTCCATAATGCTGCACACACAAATCGTCACACATTACTTCTCACCGCACGTATAATCAATTAGTGTTCCCAATTGTTTTAGAAATGAAAGTTATTAACAAAATATCAATTTTCGGATTCGCCGTGGGCCTAATAATGGAGATAACGATAACGTACGAGACAAACAGTACTACCCTCAGGCTTCAACACAGCCTTACTTATTTACAGGAAAAAACGACACAAAAGCCGTAATCAATTGATCTGTATGATATTTCACAGCCACTTTTGTTTTCTACTGTTTACCGTGGCAAGGATTACAATTGAGTCACGTGTAGATTTGATACCCAATAAAAGGTCGTGTACAAATTAACACGATAGCAACAATTCATTAAAAGACACACTGAACCAGGCAGAGGAACTGAAGTCGCACAAACCCACCATGAATCCCCTCCACACACACACAGGACAAACCCACCATGAATCCCCTCCACACACACACAGCACAAACCCACCATTAATCCCCTCCACACACACACAGCACAAACCCACCATAAATCCCCTCCACACACACACACACAGCACAAACCCACCATGAATCCCCTCATCACACACACAGCACAAACCCACCATGAATCCCCTCCACACACACACACAGCACAAACCCACCATGAATCCTCTCCACACACACACACAGCACAAACCCACCATAAATCCACTCCACATACACACACAGCACAAACCCACCATGAATCCCCTCCACACACACACACACACACACAGCACAAACCCACCATGAATCCCCTCCACGCGCACACACATAGGAAAAACCCACCATGAATCCCCTCCACACACACACACACACAGACATAGGTGCTTCGGACAGATAAGCGAGACACGCACCATCGTGTATGTTTCCTTTCAAATAAGAAAAATATAGGTCACCAATGATATCTGATCATTGTGTATGTCTTTTATGATAGTAAGCACTGAATCTAATTGTTCGAGAATTAGGTAAGATGACGACCTACAATTTACACAACCTGGGTTAATACTTTGTCGTTTATTGTTAAAAAGCACACATACAACGATAATATACTGACACCTCAGTCTCCTTTACGTGTATGTACCTGTAAGCTTCATTACTCTCTTGAGCCTTGAGCATGTGATCAACACGTATCCTCATTGATTACGATCTGTAATGAAGCATTAACGGCGGCCACCGATCATCTCATCTTCAAAAAGGTAATCACGTGTCAACAGTGAAAAGGGAAATTGAGAATAAGGATAATCGATTACAGTATGATATACCATACAAATCTCAGACAACGATGTTGTTACTAATGATAACATCATGGATGCTGATTTTGTATCTAATGAAGATACAAGTGTAGTACTTAGGCATTGAACTGTTTTTGTAGGGTATTTATGATCGATTTGAATGACACAGCTTTGCAAGCAAACAACATAATGCGCACTAAATGTCATTCAAATAGATCATAAATACCATACAAAAACAGTTCAATACTTATATTTACGTTTTCTATGCCTCTTATGTTCCTTTTTAACTTATAATTTATATTTAAAATTAAAAATGCCCGCCTTATCGACAGTCCACACAATTTCGTTCAATAGTTTGAACAGCGTATTGTCGCGTGCTGATTGGCAAACAAAGTACATGTAGTACTATGAAATTTTTACAAACACTTCAATTTTATTCCACAATTCAGTATCAATACAATTGCGTATGATATGTCTATAGGGTGATTTAAGTTTAACAATAGAACTCTGAGCTGAAAGTTACATTTGAAATTGTTCCGATTTTCCCCCGGAACAAATTTCGCGCATGGACAAATACAGTGAACACCGTAAATTCGACCTTGCCCTCCACGAGGGAGTTATTTTTGGAAGTTAATTCGAAATTTTCTCTTTGCTCATTTTGTGAAGAATCCAGGACTGAATTTATTTGTTGATTGTATGGGAACCTGACAACAGTCGGTAGATTATAAAACAGTCTCGTCATTTGACATGTCGTCAGAAACTGAGGAACCGTGTATGCGAGACGCGTGAAACTGAAAGCGTTTGAAGTGAGTGATCTTGCGACGGAGCACAGGTTCGTTACTAATGTCTGAAATGTTTATGTGTGCTGTGACTCATATTAGTAGGTCTGTAACATATGTGTCAGTAGGTCTATAGAATATGTGTATTTCAGACATTTGTAACGAACCCCTGTTGAAATATGCAGTGTAACAGACGATATTTCTGATAACATGCATGAGCGTTAAAATTGTTTCCATTGCCGGCATTGGTGATTCCAACCGATGTGCATCTTGTACGATATGATTGCAGACCTTGGTCTTGTTTTCGTTGTTATTAAAGGTGGTTTTTTTATTTATTTTTTTTGCACATAAATTTACAATGACATTGTCAAATCTCACAATGCCCAGCGATATTTCAGCAGCCGTCATGTTTATTTATATTGGATACTGTAGTTCCGGTCGGTGATGTATTAATACGCTAAGAAGTGTGTCTCGTGATGCATGGTCATTAAAGTCCCATGATCAACGACACAGCTTTCAAAGAGGCTATATAGTGACAATGCCATGCAAATGTAAACATACAGGCGTTGATGCCGAGCGTTGTCGTATTGCAGGTTTTATTTGGCAGAAACTCCCTCACTCTCTACAAACACCGACGTCAACGCCAACAAACATGGCCGCTAACATTTCTGCTACATACATGTAGTCTTTGTGGTTTGAAGTATTATATCGAGAACAATAGGAGCCTACATGGGGAAGCCAACACACATTCAACGTCATCATCAACAGATAATCGTTTAAAACAATACAAAAGCAAACGTTTTAAAATACGTAACAATCTAAAAATACAAACTGCAAAGAAAACAAACTGAAGGTAAAGAAAAAAAATACAACATGTACCGAGCCGGCATTTAAACAATTAACTCCTACCCAACCTGGCTATTAACTAGGCGATCAGGTCGGGTAAGCACCTGTCAACCTATTAATGATGTATAAGTATTTCAGGCGGAAACGCGCTAATGCTTGCAAATGGATTTATTTTAAACATTAAAATTGACAATACCTTTCTCCCTCCTAAAAATGTGTTGATGTCCGGTTATTAAATCCTGGTTTAGATGCAGCCAAAGTAAAGTACTTTAAGGACAGTTTAATTCAGATCTAATATTAAATACATTATAGTTATCCGCCAGATCTAAGTCTATATACCTTATAGTTATCCGCCAGATCTAATACTATATACCTTATAGTTATCCGCCAGATCTAATACTATTACCTTAAAGTTATCCGCCAGATCTAATATTATATACCTTATAGTTATCCGCCAGATCTAATACTATATACCTTATAGTTATCCGCCAGATCTTATACTATATACCTTATAGTTATCCGCTTTGTTGTATGTGATCTTAAATGGTGATCACAATAGCTATACACACGACACGCACTAAATAGTTAACTGACGTCGACTAAATCTTACACAGTAATTGATCCTGTCAAATGGACACTAAATGAGCAATTACAAATTCATAATTATATATGGTGTATGAACAAGAATTAGGGGTACTTGGTCCATGGTTGTGAACTAAAAACGAAAATACTAACACTATCTGTTTTTTTTCTAAACAGATCATATCCGGTACTGTTTAGCTCATTCCAAATCTAGATCGATCACACGCACACAATCGCATGAGATCTAAATTCATATTGACATCCATGCAGAACAGGTACCTATTCAACCGGGACGTGTCGTGCCATGTCGAATCAGACTGTTACAGTAAACACACACCACCAAACAATTGATCAGTCGCTGCAACACTCCACCGGTATTTCTCGGTTCGCTATCCTATGTGATTTCACGCAAAACAAAAAACCATCGCTCTGTTGTTTTCCATATGTAACCTTAAACAAGAGTCTTCCCACTGACCTAGCAATTTGTATTGTACGATTTACACACAGAACAGATATATGAATTGATTTTAAAACGATCCATTTATTACACATCTTGCGGATACGATGCCAGGAATGTTTGAAATAATAGAATTTATCTAACCTTATTGGACTCTATTATCTTACTGATCTGGAACGGTATTAAGTGTGAACATTTCATATCTTTTAAGAGACGCGGTTCAATATTGTATGCATGGTGTATGCGTAATACAAGTATGTTTTAAACATTGAGGACATGGATGAATTAAATGTATTCTGACATTCCTGAGGTAACACTTTCAGGCTTGCATTGCTTTCTTGTTCCTTTAGTTTGTTTCGACTTAGTACACAATTGCATGTGGATAGGAATCGTTTCAAAAGTGATAATACAAATATATTCGCCAAATCAAGTTAAATCGTATTAACCAGTAAGCTTGCTAACCATAGGTTTCTAACTGCCTTACTGCAACTGACGCTGCTAAGATACGGTATTTTAGCGTTCCTTAGTGACCAACTTTCCTGGATTTGAGTAGAGCAATCTTTCAGTAGCGAGGTGTACTCTCCCATAGATCATCTTTCAGCTCAGTTTGTCGGTAGTCATGTATCACGTTTTCATTGTAGTTATTTTGGCTCTATCTATTAGTTTATTGTATCAACATTATGGTTTGACTGATCTACAAACGTTATAAAACATATATTATGTATGTTGACAACTACAATTAAGTTCTAAACACGTACGTCAGTATTCACACGTAAATAAGGATATGATAGGCCCTGTTGTTCGCGAGCTAAACAAGTACGACAGTATTCACACGTAAATAAGGATATGATAGGGCCTGTTGTTCGCGAGCTAAACAAGTACCACAGTATTCACACGTAAATAAGGATATGATAGGGCCTGTTGTTCGCGAGCTAAACACGTACGACAGTATTCACACGTAAATAAGGATATGATAGGGCCTGTTGTTCGCGAGCTAAACACGTACGACAGTATTCACACGTAAATAAGGATATGATAGGGCCTGTTGTTCGCGAGCTAAACACGTACGACAGTATTCACACGTAAATAAGGATATGATAGGGCCTGTTGTTCGCGAGCTAAACACGTACGACAGTATTCACACGTAAATAAGGATATGATAGGGCCTGTTGTTCGCGAGCTAAACACGTACGACAGTATTCACACGTAAATAAGGATATGATAGGGCCTGTTGTTCGCGAGCTAAACACGTACGACAGTATTCACACGTAAATAAGGATATGATAGGGCCTGTTGTTCGCGAGCTAAACACGTACGACAGTATTCACACGTAAATAAGGATATGATAGGGCCTGTTGTTCGCGAGCTAAACACGTACGACAGTATTCACACGTAAATAAGGATATGATAGGGCCTGTTGTTCGCGAGCTAAACACGTACGACAGTATTCACACGTAAATAAGGATATGATAGGGCCTGTTGTTCGCGAGCTAAACACGTACGACAGTATTCACACGTAAATAAGGATATGATAGGGCCTGTTGTTCGCGAGCTAAACACGTACGACAGTATTCACACGTAAATAAGGATATGATAGGGCCTGTTGTTCGCGAGCTAAACACGTACGACAGTATTCACACGTAAATAAGGATATGATAGGGCCTGTTGTTCGCGAGCTAAACACGTACGACAGTATTCACACGTAAATAAGGATATGATAGGGCCTGTTGTTCGCGAGCTAAACACGTACGACAGTATTCACACGTAAATAAGGATATGATAGGGCCTGTTGTTCGCGAGCTAAACACGTACGACAGTATTCACACGTAAATAAGGATATGATAGGGCCTGTTGTTCGCGAGCTAAACACGTACGACAGTATTCACACGTAAATAAGGATATGATAGGGCCTGTTGTTCGCGAGCTAAACACGTACGACAGTATTCACACGTAAATAAGGATATGATAGGGCCTGTTGTTCGCGAGCTAAACACGTACGACAGTATTCACACGTAAATAAGGATATGATAGGGCCTGTTGTTCGCGAGCTAAACACGTACGACAGTATTCACACGTAAATAAGGATATGATAGGGCCTGTTGTTCGCGAGCTAAACACGTACGACAGTATTCACACGTAAATAAGGATATGATAGGGCCTGTTGTTCGCGAGCTAAACACGTACGACAGTATTCACACGTAAATAAGGATATGATAGGGCCTGTTGTTCGCGAGCTAAACACGTACGACAGTATTCACACGTAAATAAGGATATGATAGGGCCTGTTGTTCGCGAGCTAAACACGTACGACAGTATTCACACGTAAATAAGGATATGATAGGGCCTGTTGTTCGCGAGCTAAACACGTACGACAGTATTCACACGTAAATAAGGATATGATAGGGCCTGTTGTTCGCGAGCTAAACACGTACGACAGTATTCACACGTAAATAAGGATATGATAGGGCCTGTTGTTCGCGAGCTAAACACGTACGACAGTATTCACACGTAAATAAGGATATGATAGGGCCTGTTGTTCGCGAGCTAAACACGTACGACAGTATTCACACGTAAATAAGGATATGATAGGGCCTGTTGTTCGCGAGCTAAACACGTACGACAGTATTCACACGTAAATAAGGATATGATAGGGCCTGTTGTTCGCGAGCTAAACAGGTACGACAGTATTCACACGTAAATAAGGATATGATAGGACCTGTTGTTCGCGAGCTAAACACGTACGACAGTATTCACACGTAAACAAGGATATGATAGGGCCTGTTGTGCGCGAGCTAAACACGTACGACAGTATTCACACGTTAATAAGGATATGATAGGGCCTGTTGTTCGCGAGCTAAACACGTACGACAGTATTCACACGTAAATAAGGATATGATAGGGCCTGTTGTTCGCGAGCTCTGTTTTGACCTAGATGCTGGATGACACAATAGGGACAAAGCTCTATCCCTGGCTCATTTATATAGGAAAACATAAAATAGAAACGTTATATGAAATACATCTTTGCAAAACTAGTAATTATTTGAAATACAATAGTAGGTGTATAGAGAGTGCGTAAAAGTGAATGTATATATATAGTTATACTTACAGCGAAGAACGCATCTCATTCCTGTTCTGATTCCAATAGTTTGTATAGAATGATACAGTTACTGTGTAGGTTTCAGACAATTGGTAGCCTCACGATAAGTTCCGACATCAACTGTCACCGGTGAGGAAAGGTAGAACATGCCACTAACATACCACGTCGATGTCATCCCAACACTACACTAGAGAATGAACACCCAGGGACGCTGGCAATGCTGCGTGCCATCACTGGATCACTGAACCGTTCTCACACTTGTTACAGGTGAGTGATCACCAGGTATCAATAAATAAACACATCCGACTTCATGATCGGGTATGACTTGGCAGCTTCCTTAAGAGCGTGAAAAGCCAGCCAATCAGATGTCAGTCTCCCGTATAAGACCACGCCAAACCAGTGTCAGGTACACGTATCGAGAATCACTAAATTATCAAATAGCTTCATCAGTTCTATCGCCAAGACACGCCGAATATTCTCTTAACAAAAGCAAGCGCTCTCTACACGAAAATCTAGGGGACATATGATATGACAATATTTGCCTGATAGAGGAGTTTTCTAGGCCTGGTCATTGTAGTATCGAATGACGAGTATACGTCTATATTCCTTTCTAATGGTCGCGTTACATATAAACGAGGCAAACGCCATGCAATATTCATAACTGTATCGCTTCCTAACTTAATGTAATAGGCACAGGCTGCTGCTATCGGGTTTACCAAGGAGATGACTTATTTAAATATATTTGGCCATTTTCCATGTCGAGTAATACGAAAAACGGTAACAGTGAAAAGTCAAACATGGGTGTAACAGTGATGCAATTGTTAGTGTAGTATTTAGGTTGATAGTTTTACTTTATACAGTAGTCTAACATGGTAAGCATGTTATACGGTATGTTGATATTGGACGTGTTGATGAATTAATTAGAAAAGAAATGTGTTGCATATGTACATCAATTCGTTTTTCAGTACCTTGCTGCTTAGCTTATCAGGACTGGAAACAAAAACCTAGCCAAGTCCTTCGATTTCCCATTCAGATATATCGACGATGTCCTTTCTTTGAATAACTAGAAATGTACTGACCATATCGATTGTGTACCCCCTTGAAATTATTTTCTTTTAATAGAAAAGATTGTCACAGACTCTCCTACTTAAGCCGCTTACCTCTATCATTTTCTTACAACATAACCTAAAGGGACGGCTTAGTACTACGCTGGACGATAAGCGGGACAATGTTTGACTGTTCGATCGTTAACTTACCTTATTTGGAAAAAAAACAGAACTTTTTCATATATAAACATTATATTTTTGTATCTTATATTTGGTATATCTGTGCAGTTGTAGTAGTTAATCTGTGTGCGGCTTTATATAATGTATTAGCGTGTATCCATGATGATTTATAGTTAATTGCTATAGTACTGTGTAGCTATGACAGATGATATGTGTAGTAGTTAATCTGTGTGCGGCTTTATATAATGTATTAGCGTGTATCCATGATGATTTATAGTTAATTGCTATAGTAATGTATGGGTGTACTGTGTAGCTATGACAGATGATATGTGTAGTAGTTAATCTGTGTGCGGCTTTATATAATGTATTAGCGTGCATCCATGATGATTTATAGTTAATTGCTATAGTAATGTATGTGTGTACTTTGTGCCTATGATAGATGATATGTGTAGTAGTTAATCGGTGTGCGGCTTTATATAATGTATTAGCGTGCATCCATGATGATTTATAGTTAATTGCTATAGTAATGTATGTGTGTACTTTGTGCCTATGATAGATGATATGTGTAGTAGTTTAAATACATATATATCTAACAGCAATTGAATACGATCAAAAGGGAAAAAATAATAACAAATGTGAAAAAACGTAATTTGGTCTGATGTTCCAGATAGGTAAGCATTTTATATTTAAAAGAAGGTCATTTATAATTCATTTCAAACTCAATCAATTTTTGTCCTTAAAGTGACAGCCAGTGTCAACAAAACCAGAGGAAGCACTAATGAATATTATCATTAACGTCGATATACATGTCACACAGGAAAGTAGAATGTCTCCCGATGATACAATCATTGAGCCAATGCAAATAACAGATAGTTGTGTTTGACCTGCGTCTCACTATGTCATTCGTTTGTTCGTCAGCGTCCAATATAGATGAAGGAAATCGTGATATGTTGAGCAAGTTCTTGGATTTCAAATGGAATACTACCTGCAAACACCGTAGGTTGGTGAAAGGAGGAAGTTACTATAAAAAATTAAAAAAATTCCCGATCGGGAAATCAAATCACGACTATCATACAGCTTAGTAGTAGCATATGTACGATGAGGATGTTATAAACAAAAGAAGGAGGCAATTGGTTGATGTAGAAAAGTATACAGTGGAATTCAGTGGGGAATTCAAAAGGATTAATATAATAATAAAAGCCTTGGTTATTTAAAGAAAACACACAGTGGAAATATTTTAAAGTGAAACTGACTGACTTGGAAAGGTCTTTACTATTGTCTTAATAATCTCTTCGATAACTACCGGCTTATCTAAAAATATAAGAGTTAGCATGGCTATGCAAAAAGTCTACTACAACAGGTTGTCATCGAATTCAATCATTTTCACGAAATATGTCTCACCCCAAAAATATCCATAAATAAATCTTATTTGTATTCTCGTCCTAGAAAATACATTAAAATATACTAGCGGAAAAAAGAAACTGTGCATGCGGAGAATTGTTACAGAACATGTATTACCAACTGTATATACATGAAAATTCACACACATGACCGAGTATGACACATACACCCTATCCGTGTGTCGTTGACAGTTTTTCCCGTGCAGTTTGCTCTCTATAGGCGTTGATCAGTTTGCACGTTTTTCTCGTCAAGCCATCCAATTCGACAATGAAAGTTTATTTTTCAACTGTTGAGTCACTCTGTTGAGACCAGTGAACAGTAAAAACAGCATTATAACGTTTTAATTTGTGATAAATGCTATGCCGAGGCTCAATGAAAATGACCGCCTTTCGGATTATTGGTATGCTTCAAGCTGGTATGGGCCAAGCCGTTGTCATCGTGTGGGACGTCCACGTGTGAGGTAACGTCAACAGGGCAACCATATTCGGCTTGTCCATTTGAGAAATCGCTTCCAAACGGCAAGTTTGACTTCACGGACAATCTCTGTGGTACAACGACGTTCTTTCGGCGGAGGCAGCGTTATGATTTGGGGCGGCATCCCAGCCAACAGGAGAACGCCTCTGGTGGTTGTTAACGGGAATTTGAACGCGCTACGTTACCGTAACGAGATCCTCCGGACCCACGTCGTTCCATTCGTGCAAGGGCAGCAACGGCACTTTACGCTACAGCAGGACAACGCCAGGCCACACACAGCTCGTGCCGCTATGGACTTTCTGGCCTAACAGAACGTTGACGTGTTGCCCTAGTCTGCTGTATCCCCCGATCTGTCGCCCATTGAACACGTTTGGGATGAAATGAAGCGCAGATTACGGGCATTACCTAATCACCCGGTGACGTTGGCTGATTTGGCTGCAGCGTTGGTACAGATCTGGAATGCCATCCCACAAGCATTCTTGAAAAGTCTGATAGGCTCCATGCGTCGACGTTGCCAGGCTTGCATTCAGGCAAACGGTGGACATACGAGGTAATAACTTTGTGAACTCAGTATTGACGCCTGCAGTGTTTACGTCATTCCTGAGCGGAACCTATTGATTCTATAACGTGGAAAATGAAATGCAACTGTTAATAAATAACAAATGAATTGTCCCTGAAAACCTTGCTGTTCTACGTCATACACATTTATTTGTATAACACATTTAAGGCATGCACTGTTTCTTTTTTTCCGCTAGTATATATCGTTCCTTATCCATTACCCCTATCTAACTAAATACCCGGTAAGATTTTAACTACTATTTACCGGGAATGTTTTCGCTACGGTTTAATTTTCTCTACTTTTGCCCTCCTTCATGAAGGTAAAATTCTCATTACAGCAAAAAAAAAAAAAAAAAAAAAAAGGTAACCAACATAATATGCATAGTAGTTTGATGTACAGGGCTAAGTCAATATTAGGTGAAAACATTTGCCGGTACACAGTTTATATTTTATCATCTATATATCATCTATATAATATTTTATACCTCTACTGAGTGTTTACTATACAAAAAAACACAACGATAAAATCTGCTATTTCCCTTAAATCACTTAAATATCTCAATCTGAGAGCTACTCCCTCCCCAAATTAGGACTACTCCCTGCAAAAAAAACAACCTACTCCCTGCCAGAAAGAGAACTACTCCCTCATGAAAATTTGTAGGTGGAGCTTATGAGATTTAAACCAATGCAAACATTGGTAGGTGGAGCTTATAAGATTTCAACCAATCTTCTTCTTCTTCTTCTTCCACATAATTGCCTCCTTCGTCTTATCGAAGATTATGCAATATCTATGATACACAATGCGCAGATGAACACACAATTGAAAAGTTTAGATTGTAAAAGTTAAAAAATAAAAACACTGATGTAGTGTTAGACGTTTAAAGTTGGTTGATTTGACCCACCAGCCTTCAGCCTAGTGAGTTCGGGGTCTGTTAGAAGTTTAAACTTTTTTAGTTCCAATTCGTTGAGAGTTTTCTTAAAGGTTTCCAAGATTGTCGAATTCGTAGTTTTATGGTTCATTGTATTCCTCCGCGCAAAAACTTATTTATTTTCGTTTGTCACAGGCGATCGTTGATCATTGAGCTTAGAAGTCATTTGGAAAACATGGTGTTTAGTTGAATTTTTCGAATGGAACATTCTATTTGTTTACTTTTGTCACAGGCGATCGTTGACGATTGAGCTAAGAAGACATTTGGAAAACATAGTGTTTGGTTGAATATTTTGAATGGAACAATATATAAAGTAATAGTATATAGATGATAAATAGTTTATCATACAGTAATTTCAGTGTTTGTCATTCGAACAATTTGTTCATCGCTCGCATGCAGATATATTTTTGAATGCATCTGCTGTGAAAATAAAATGTGATAATTTATAAATCCCTTGTCTTATAAGCATTCCGTCCCTCGGATACCCTGGTAAAATACATATGTTAAGTATCCTGTCCCTCGTCTTAAAAAAACACCAGGTAAGGTTTTATAAAAGCATTTTGTCCCTCGGAAAAGTTGGACGTTAACTGGAATACGTCATTATGTACCCGTGTTTGATGCTGCTGCACTGATCCTTTATCTGGCCGTAATCTCCATCCATCTTGGTACGGGGAATTGAACTGTCAGTCCTCAGATTAAAGGATGCAGCAAATGTGATTTTGAAGAATTTCAATTAGAGCGATGTTGTTTTCCTCAGTCATCTTTGTCTACAAGCACAGTAAATTACAGGTTATCTGAGGACACTCTCGTACACAGAAACACGATGAAAGGCATTGGATCTCTTGATCAGGTAGAGCGACTGTACAGCACAGGTAAAGTCGGTACCCGTTAATTAAAAAATACATGTGTTTCAATTAGTATCACCATTATAGAAAGAACTCCGCCAGAAAGACAAATAAAAGTTGTGGAGGCTTCTGAACACTTCCAGTCGTTAAGCAGAATCAATACTCAGAGCTCATTTCCATTTAAACCTGCAAAA